CACGGAATATCTATCGATCCTAGACATCCTATGCTAATTGCTGATTTGATGACAAGTCGAGGTGAACTATTGGGTATAACACGTTTTGGTTTATCAAAAATGAAAGAGTCTGTGCTGAATCTTGCTTCGGTATGATAAATATTTGATTAAAATGTTCTATATAATAAATAATTTTGTAAAATGTTTATTCAGTATGACTAATGGTTACTTTAACAATCGTTTTAGTTCGAAAAAACTTCTGATCATTTATTTGATGCTGCATATTATGGACAAACTGATACAATAAATGGCGTGTCTGAGAGTATCATTATGGGTATTCCAATCAACTTGGGTACAGGATTCTTCAAATTGATTTATAAATATCCTTTTTATACATTAAAAACTACTTATAATTTATTCAATTTATCAATCATTTATTATCATCTTCAATGTATTACCTTAAAGTGAAACCTTTCTAATGCAGTCTCCATAGAGGGATTAAAATATATCTGCAATTAAGGAGTGTCTATTATTCTCAATGGATAGATATTTATGTTGGGGAATTTTTTGAACATCCAATGCTCGTTAAAATTAACATTTTTTTTTTAAAAATCTGAGTATTTTGTTCTTAATTATGGCAAGTTTATTTCCTTTAACAAATCATCCTTTCAATTTTCTTGCCTATTTTCTATACAAAATAACTTTGATGTATCTGCTAGGCATTCTGCGACTCACTTTTTTGTATTTATCTATTACTAAAATTGTAATGTTTAGTCTATAACTGATTATGAATGATTGATATTTTAAATGTTTAATATATATATGTTGTTGAAAATTTGTCCTTAATGTTTAATGTTTAAGACCAAAAATAAAGCAACAGATTTTCCAAAGCAAACATTTGTATTTGATGATGCAGATCTTCACGAAAAAGGGTGTTATTGGCAATGATTCATTGACTATAAATTATTTATTAAATTGTTGTGTTCAATCTGTGATATTAATTAATTTTTAATGTATTTTTGTGTAGTACGTACCTAAAAATGTATTGTTATTCTTGTAATAATTGATTAGTGAATAACATAATAATTTGTTGAGAAATTCATTTATACTTTTTTAGTCCTAAAATATCACACAAATTACAATTCACAATAATTTATTATTGCTGATTAATATCAAGTTCTTTTTTAAAGAAACAACAGTCCATTCCATTCATGAATAAATTGGACATCCTTAAATATTTATTATTTTACTACTAAAAATGTATTTATACTAATCATTTATTATTAATTTATTTACATACAGTCAACTATTAATAAAATTTAGAAATTTGATTTATATTAGTATTTATTAATTGTACTTGTGTTTATTTTTTATAATGCAGTATGATTAGTTTGTTTTTATTTATAAGTTTAGTATAATTATTATACATTAACATAAATTAATTATGAACTTTATACTTAATAATAATAATTAGAGTATATTTCAATTGTATATTTTTCTAACCAGTTATGTTTAAATTTTACATCTTACTGTTATACCCAAAAATTATTTGATTGAAATAACTTAAGCTGGTAAATAGGGTATTAGTAATAAGTAACTGACTGTTAATGTTAAAAACCATTTATATTTTTAAAACAATTAAAACTTTGCTTAAAAATTATGTTTTCCAAAAAAGTTTAACAATAATTATTTGTTGTTCAGTTGTCTTTAAATATCTACTTGGTCAATGCAATATCTCATGAATCTTCAAATTAACTATTAACAGTTATCTTATATTTCTCATTTAAGCCGGTGACTAATTTGTGACAACAGGTAGCATAAAAATAATTTCAAATTCAATGGCAGTCTTACCATTATATTTTAAACATTTAAACCATCAAAAACACATTAATTTGATGGACAAATTAAAAAAACATTTGTAGCTGATCAGGGGTGGATAATGTTGTGACTTGTGAGTACCAATGACTTGCTCTTGAAAAAAATTAAATATCAAATACATGTACTTGTTAAAAACAAAAAATAATTATAAATACACAGTAATACGTAAGTACCAGCTCATCTATATGGCCTTACCTATATATTTTTTGTCTTGGGAAGGATTAAAATGTAGCAATATTAAAATTATGTCAGGTTTTATTTATTATTATGATTTATACATTATGTTAATACATCAATATATTCTAGTTTAATGCACAACACATTATATATTATGTTCATTGATGATGCGACTAGGTAACTTGTACCATATACATTCCATAATTATGCTTTCAATGCCCTGTCAGTCATGAATATACCATCTGCTCGTTTTCCACACAAAATAGTTTATTAGATTTGATATTTTGATATCATTGTACTCTCTATTATAATAATATAATATATTATAAATTTTAAATGTCACAGTTTGTAGATTAGATAAACACACTACACACGTTGTCTGTACTACAATGTATCGAAATTGCAACTATAATAATATTAATATAGTCAATAGATAATAGTGTTTTAGATGTTTCCGCAACTCAAATAATAGTTACTCGCAAATAAAACTAGTATGTGTTACTTTAATTATCTATTACTATAATATGTCTCTATAATTTACTATAATAATCAAGAAAAATAGAAACTTGTAGGCATATTGATGTATCAGTGACATAGCCGTGAACTTTATTTTTTTACCTTGGGGGGGGGGGGGCAAATTATTAAATACCTCACTTTAAAATCATTAAAATGTAATTAAATCAAAAATAAATATGCGTCTTGGAGGGGGAAATTCTCCTGTTACACCCTCAATAAATACGCCACTAGTAGGTACGTACTTGCAGTAAACAGAATTTGACAGACTTCAACAGAGGTTCTTCGAGTTGCTCACTACTCAGACAGTATGCTAGTAGAGGTAGGTAAACTAGAGAGCTGAACACTGCAGACTGTAGTGGCTAGCTCGGGATCACACTGTTCATGCAGAGAATTTCTATGAGTGATGTGTATATGTCTGTATGTTTATTTTATAAATCGTATACATTTTTATTTGTTTTCGAACATTATAATACCAATGTTTTACAAAAAACATAATAGGTAGTAAGTGCCTAATTGATATCTGTTTTAAAAAATAGAATACGTAATATTTATTTTTGAATGTGTGATCTGTATGTTGTCTATACCTACCTATACAATATATTATTTCATGACAAAATGCCTCAGTGAAGAAATGAACCTAAAATTGACCCACCGCCCACCCACCCTCGTACTCAATAAACACAAGTAACTAGGTAGGTACTATAAGGACTATATTAGCATTACTATTACTATTTGCCTACTCTATTTATCATTTAGTAAATGTTTTTCACTTTCACATGGACGGATATAGCCGATATAGGTACTTTTTTTTCTGGCATTTATCTATTATAGGGCCGCATAATTAGGAACTATACATATTACATATCATATTTTTTTTTAAATGATCACTTCGCTTGCAATACTTTTTACAATCAAAACACATAATATGTATATTATATACTACACAATCAAATGATTTCACAATCAACATTTTAATAAATGTATACTACTATACTACCTACTCTTATTGTATTAATATATACTTATACCTACTCCTATAAATTATTATTTTATGATTGTTTAGTTTTGTCAGTCGAACATATTTATTTATATTTTTATTTTACAAATTATTTAGTTTTTAGTACAATAGTACGTCATACTACTGTAACGATGGTGACATCGTCACTTATACTTTGTCACCTATATACGTATAGCCTACATATATACATGTACATATATATTATTATATACCTTATAAACATAATATATAGAATATGCTGACTAAATATATTGAGCCCCTCCTGTTATGATACCATTGTAAGGCTACGGCCAAATGCGAATATTATGTAAGGGTACGGCAGTTCTCCGTTCTGCGCGACACCGTCATGTGAATAGGAACTCCGGGCTGCCAATAAATTAGTTGTAAGTAAATTATATGTAATTAAATTATATTTTAATAACAATTTAAATCAATCTGTATTCATTTGTAACTATAAGATCCCAACATTCCTGCTCCCGAGCTACGGATAAATATATTCAAAGGATACACAACTCCTCCCTGAATATCTTATATTTAACTGGTCTTCCCCGACCACGTTACACTACATACAAAAAAATAGCTAAGTATGTATTTATGGGGGTATAAACGCGTATTATACAAAGGCCCCATAATGGAGTGTGCAAATATTACAAATACCTACGCATTAGCCAACTAATACTAAGTTAATACTGAACAGCCGCCGCCCGCCAGGCGGTAATATATTACAGTATTATAAAACTTAATTGTATTCATTTATTTTTTTATGAAAATTCTTTTTCAATGTTTTGGGATTGGGGCCTCTGAATATAATATTAATGGGGGCTGATAATCCCGATTTCCCTATGGTCCTATCCGCCCATGCACTTTCATATTGAGCATCCACCCACCCACCCATCCCTAAATATTAAAAAAAAATTGAGAAGCAGTTGCTTCTCAAAGACCATAATATGTTCGTTTTGCCACTGGTTATTACCTTATATATTGGTGACGGGGCCTTTGGTCTTCTTACTTTACAAAAGGTGTTCCCAACATTTTAAAAAAGTGGCAAAAAATAATGTAAATAGGTGCACGGTTTCTTGTAGAAAAAAAAATGTTTAAAAATTATAACTGTATAACTGTAAAAATTGCTTCGTTTTTCAAAACAAATAGCGGTACATGAAGAAATAAACGCGGTTGCAGTCACGTTGCACCAGGACCGGGTATATGACGTATACCTATTACCTTTATACCTATAAATTACGTTATTATATGTATATTTATGTACATATTTTAATAGGTACCTATATCGTTTACCTGTTATATACTTGTACATATATATATATACATACCGTACATACCTAACTAGGTATTCTGTATTCGTACGCCGATTGGAAGGTGTAATGTTGAAGGTCGCCGGAGATAAGGAAGGCGTGTGTATTGCATAATTGGTAGATATGGCCCGAGTCGACGGCACTTGCAGTCTACACTCCTCGCCGTCTAGACGTCCGGCGCTCGCTTGCTCAGCCAACGAACCCGTAAGTCGACGCCGGAGCTCAAACATGGACAAGTTGAAGACCGGATGGTTCAGCGAACTCACGGACCTGTTGCCGGGCAGGAGTTTTTCCATGGAAGTGGAACAGGTCTTGCACCAGGAGCAGTCCAAGTACCAGGAGATATTAGTATTGAAAACGTGAGTTCTCGTCGTACGCCTGCTATTACTGTCAATGTTTCATATTATAATATTATTTATTTCGTATTACTTATACAGTTTAACAGTTATATATAATAACCATCTATGTTTCAATGAATATATTATTTTTATAACTTATAATATTTTGAACAGCTGAATTCTGTCGATCGTACCTATAGGCAGTGGCGGTAAAATGATCTTATCGAGGTGGAGGAGGGGTGAGATTGCTTTTTTAACATGCACTTTGATCGTTAAAAGCATCATTTAGTTAAGGATGATCATTGATCATATACTATCCTTAAATCCATAAGTACAATAATTATCTAATCTAAAATATAAGCTAAAAAGAGCTACTCATAATATTGATAACAATTGTAATTAAATTACCAAATAATTTATAAGGCCATATATAGGTAATATATAATATTATATATTATACATAAATTGTACCATTAAAAATTATTGAACATTATCCCCCTCATATAACACCAATCGCGCCACTAACGTTTAGTTATAATCATGCACCTAAATCGAACGACAAGTGTAGGTATCTTAATAATTTTAACCATCGGCATAAGTCTATCCATCATTAAGAAATATTTAATACTATGACACAATTATTTCTACGGTTATTTTTAATGTCATATTATAATATTTTATAAATATAATACACTTTAAAAAAAATGCAGTATGTGCCGAGTGATTCATTTAACGTTACGCATTATTTCAAATTTAAAGTCATTTAAAACCAAATATCTAAAAATAATAAATGTGTTACTATTTTATCTTTATTAATGACTACAAGCATTTGTAATTCCTTATTACAAAGCAGGACATTTTTGTTGCATTTCAATACATAAAAATAAAATTTTGGACTAGTAGCTAATGAGTTATAACTGTATAAGTATTTAACATTTAAATGAGTGGTTTGGTAGGAGTGGTACAGGGGTACTCGTACTCTGCAAAATATCATCTAAACTTTAAACGTGTATGATTAATAAACTACTTATCCGAAATTTGATTTATATATATATATATAAATAAATGTCTCTACTTAAAATTGTGTAAAAGAAATATTTTCAAAAACTTAAGTTATGACTGCCTTACGTTAAATGGATCACACCGTGTATAGTGGATGCTGAATATATGTTTATTACTCGTTTAAAATAAACTATAGGGGCAATCGACCATGGAGTGTGAAATATAATTAATTATAGCAGTAGTCAGAAGGTACGCGTGTTTCGTGTCTGGCCACTCTGACAATGGACAGACACATGTGAATTTAAATTAAATAAACTAATTTCAAGAATTATTTCTATGTACCTAGTAGAGGAACTGTTTTAAAAATTATTACTATAAGTTATTTAATATATAACTTAACACAAACTTATCAACAAATTACTCTTGGCTGGCTCTGCGAAATAATTTAAAACTTTAAAACACGATAAACGTAGATATACTATATACCATTATAATATAATATAATAAATAATTATTATTACTTATTAAGTACCTATATAACACGGTGGTTGGCTACATATTATATAATAGCGATCACACATATTACACATACCAATACTTTGATTTTATTCCACTACTTAAAAACTTGAATAAATGTCTTATAAAATATATATAAGTATATTTATATATATGTAATACAATCTCTGTCGCCTCATTGGACATTTTTGTGTACTCCACTGGCTACTGAATAAAAGCTTTTAGAAAACTAAAATATTACAATATTATTCCCAAAGTGTTCCACAAAAAAATCTTATAGTCGATTAGTAATATTAATACGACGCTACACGCGTAATTGTAACAGTTTTTTAAATTTTGTTTTTATAAATGTATTTATTACAACTTATTATTCAAACAATAATAATAAGCACATTTTTGAGTAAATGAGATGAATGGAAATCAACAAATTTAAGATGACGCTACACATGCGTTTGTAATTGTGTGCGTCGTATACCTAACCGTACGACGTGCTCGTTCACTACTGTTAATAGTGTTCTGTTAATTTTGATATTAGAGTGAACTGACCTATTATCAAACTTTTAGATATGAAGCGTCTGCATTTTTTCGATATTTTAATTTTCAAGCATGATATCTGTAACCATGCGAGAACAAATTAAAAATACTATTTCGCTTGAAAATTAGAACATCGAATAAAAGCTGAAGATCGAGCACAGCTGATGATGTTCTTACCTAAAAGTAAGATAATATGTCAATTCACAGTGTCGTACTAAAATAACAAAACTTACAGCATACTTTTGAAATTAGTGAACGAACATTCGCTGTGACGTACACTCGTTCGTGTGTATAAGAAGGAAACAACAAATGCATGGGTATTATGTTACAAATGACAATTAATTTGACGATATTAGGAGATAAAACCGTTTGATCGTATGGACTAAAGTGGAAGGTTCAGCCGATTGCCCATACCTATCTCAATATTAATAGGTATAGTCTTAAAGAAATAAGTATCTAGGTATAATTATTAATTTTTACATCGAAATATACCTATCTATATTACAGTTGGTATATAAGTGTATAACTTAATTTTACATTTAATGCAGATAATATTATAATATGAAAAAATTAAATTATTTAAGTCACACGCATATCGTTCACTATTCAGTATAAATAAAACTAATTTCCCCTCCCTCAAAATAGAAAACTAATCATTATTGCAAATAATTACATTCTAGATAGATGTAGACGTCGAATAGTACACTTGTAATAAGATATACGGATTACATTAATCGTTAAAAAACACTCTTTGATTTTTTTTTACATGTTTATAGGCAATAGACAGTAATATGTATCAACTGCGAAATTTCTAATCTATTTGTATGAAATTAATTGGTATGGGTGTTAATATATTTTAAGTGGAATGCTATACTGATATACCTACACGATATACTATAAAACTAAATCCAATTGGGACGTAATATATTGTTATGAATATATTGTTCTGAATAGATACCTAATATTTTTTTTTCTACGGTTTTATCAGTGCTATATTAAATCTAATTTGAAGTGTACCAGATTTTAAGAGACGTTAACAAAATATTAATTTTTGTTCTGTATAAATATATAAGGTACCTACCTACATAATTTTATAAAGCAGATGGAAATAATTAATAATGTATATTATGTACCAAATTAGTGTATTACCATCACAATCTTGGGTTATGTTTAGTGTGTTTCGATGTTGATAAAATGATCAACCGGGTGATCTAATTATCCCGTACCTCCATCTGCACGTGGCCGTCCAACTGACCAGTTGATAGCAATTTAGGAACATAATAAATATAATTAGATTATATTATACCAATTACTAACAATTAGTGTGTAAGAAATCTGATTTTGGAATTTTTTGATAATTCATTAATTAATTTGATAATTAAACATAAATGATAAATTAATATTTGATTTATTTTATAAATCTTAAATATATTTAAAGACCATATATTCGATTTCTTGAGATTTTATGTACTATGGAGTGTCCTGTGAAGATACAAACTTCTGTTTTTCAAATGAGAACTTTTCAACTGTAAATTATTCAGTGGATAATTTTAATAAAAAATTTGATGTTTCAGATCAAAATTCGTATGAGTAATTTTTGAGTTATTTAACTTTGTGTAAAAGGGCCATGGTAATGGGTTTAGAAGAATGGGAGGGAAACCTGTAGGGATTTGAACATTTTAATCACATTAATCTATAAATATTAATAATTTGTAAAAGTGGCCCAAGTTTAATAAATACTAATTCCAATATTAAATATATTTTATATTTTTTTAAAACAATTTTTAAGGACTCTTATCTTCAGTACAAACATTTTAATGGCTAAAAAACTACTCATTCGAATTTTGAATCAGGTACATCAAAAATATTTAAAAAAAAGTATCCACTAAATAATTTACAGTAAAAAAGAAGGGTTCTTATTTGAAAAACAGAAGTTTGTATTACCATTAATCACAAGACTTAAGTAGTAAAAAAATTTCAAGAATTTCAAAATAAGATTTTTAAGTATATTTAAAAATTCCAAAAATCATAATTAGAATAAATTCAGTGTTAAAGGAAAAAATGGGGATGAGCATGCTTGATGGATCACCCTGTATAATAATGCTTACAATTAATGAACTACTTGAGACTTGCTGAGTGGTGTGTAATCTTAATTTCTTAAGTCAAAATTGACGTTTATTGATTGATAATAGTTCACTTTTGATGATAAAAAAATAGATTATTAATATATTTTTTTATTAATTAAGATTTAAAAATGCAAAATAAAACGTTTGATTATGAAAATAAAATTATGTATTATTGGTACATAGGTACATAGGTACATAGGTATATTGGCGATTCCCTATATTAGTACAAGTGAATACAAAAATCTAAGATAATATTTGATTAATTTAAATAGCAACTACTAATTAGTAATTATTGATTATTTTAACGTTTTTTTCTTTTAGACATAAAAGGAATATTTGATTATTTTGATGTATTTTTTACACTTATTCGTTCCGTATATAATATTATGCTGCTTGTATGTTCGTTGGAGTGTCTGATGCTGATTATTGGGATTTAGCCGGGGAGGTAGCTCGTATATGTAGGTAGGTAGTTACATTCTCAGATATTTAATAATAGTTCCACCTGCATACACATCTGCACGTGCCTTTTAGTATGTATAACGTATATGTATTATGTATCTACGAAACGTGTATCTATATTAAATTAATGTATAATATTTTAATAATCGATATAATATGTAGAAATAATTGACCCAATTTAATCGGTGATACTAAAATAACATCAGATTTGTATAGGTACTTATACCCACAATTTCCCTACCCACTTCATCTGACACCTCAACACCTGTGTACAATGTATTGTTGTATCGGTCGCAATCGGTACCTTTAATATAATTTTGTTTCTTAATAATTTAAATAATTGGTTTGTCAAAAGGAAATCTCACGGCGTCGTACTGGTACTTGATGGCATGATTCAGTGCACAGAGTTCGATGAGTATTCTTATCAAGAAATGATTTCATTTTTGCCATTATTCAGTCACCCAAAACCACAAAGGGTTGGTATATTTTTACGATAAATTACAAATATATACACAATATCCATACCTATCCGTCGGTTGTCCTTAATCTTTATATTGTACATCTCTTTCGTGAAAAGGTTCTCATCGTGGGCGGTGGCGATGGAGGGGTCGCCAGGGAAGTAGCCAAACACCCATTGGTCGAAACCATTGACCAAGTTGAAATCGACGACCGCGTTATCGAACTGTCCAAGAAATATTTACCGTTCATGGCCGAAGGATTCAACAGCCCCAAAGTCAACCTGCACGTAGCTGATGGTTTCAAATTCATGGAAGAACACTTTCAATACTACGACGTCATTATAACTGACTCTTCTGATCCTATTGGTACATTATAGAATAATTATATGCATGTATACCATCACTTTATTTATAAATTTGAAGGGACTATGGGTTCGTGGGAAGGATATATATATATAAATAACAGGTACCTATATAGAGACAGCCAATATTTTTAGTTACCTGGGATTTCGTATAATTTTAGTTATTATATTTAAATGGTAATACAACTACTGCAATACAAAATATGGTTATTGTAATTATTAAATAAATAGTCAAGCGAATTTGTCCATTTATTTTAATAAGTACTTATTAAAAATGTTAACGGCCCAACTCAATGATATTAATCGAAAAGTATTAGCTGTAGGTATATTATGATGTTTTGTGTAAGGTACATATTACATTTTTGATTTTTTCCAATAATAATAATAAAAGAGATATTGTTCATATTATGCATATACTTATTTATTTGTTTTTTTTTTGTTTCAATCGTAAATAGGTCCAGCTGTTTCGCTATTCCAAAAGTCTTACTTTGAATTAATGAAACGTGCACTGCGGCCCGGTGGCATCGTGTGTTCACAAGCCGATACATTCTGGGGACATTTGGAAAACGCAGCGTCGATGCGCAACCATTGCAAAGCAGTGTTCGCCAAGGCAGCGTACGCGACGTCTTACGTGTCCACTTACCCGGCGGGTCAGATCGGTTTCGCACTCGGCAGTCTTGACGAGGTAAGGACCTGTGATAACAATTATGATTATAATAAAAATAATTACAATTATATTACACCGACGTATACATGCATATATTATATTATACTTTATACCTACATGTATAAATAGATTTATGAATAGATATTAGATAATATAATTATCTCCTATCTTGGTAATAGTAATAATAACATTATTAGAATATTACAATCCAAATAATGTATGCATTTTGAACTCTGCTACTTTGATTTTATTACTTCGAACATGGCGATCGTCTTATCGCCGGTTATAGACCAACAATATGAATGTACATTTTAGGTTGGAAAATAGGTATTTATATTTAGGTACAACAGTACAGCACCCAACGTGTTGATGAATTTCACACGACGGCTGTATAGGTGTATTTCAATTTTCAGTATTACGCATAAGCCAGATAACTAAATAAGGCATAACAAATTACGCATTTATAGTATACCTACGACTATGTGATTTGACAAATGTCTATAACCTTTTCTGATTCTATTAATGAAATTACTATACCTACATTGGCCGAAAAGGATGAGGGTATGTTTTTGGTCGAAAACGGCCATGCTCATTGATATAACATGTTATGACCTTTTTATAGTTTGAGTAATTGTCATGTGTATAATTACACTGTTTAATAAACAGAGTGATTGGCGAATGGCGATACATGTTCACCCCCATTTTTTTCTTTTAATAATGAATTTATTCAAATTTTTGAGATTTCTATACTACAAATTACAACTAGTAGTTTCTCATTAATTAACATGTTTATTTTCCAATTTCCATGGATAATAGTCTTTAAAAATATTACAAAATTATAAAATATATGTACCTATAATATTTAATCTAGTATTTATTATACTTGTACCATTTTAACAAACTAAATATGTCAATAAGTTAATATTAATTACTGACATTTTCAAATCACCATAGTTCCCATATCTTACAAACTGTTATAAAGGATCTAGTTATCCTATTATTACCAACACAAGTCACAAAGTTAAATAGCAAGAATAACTAATTTTAATTTAAATTTTGATACGTCAATCGTTTCAGAAAAATTATCTGCTTAATAATTCACAATAGAAAAGGGGATTCTCGTTTGAAAAACAAAAGTATATGTCACCGCAATTAAAAAACCTTAGTACAAAATAAAATGTCAAGAATTTGAAAATATAGTCCCTAAAATATAAAGTAAAGCCGTATATAATATAATATTAGAAAATTCCAAAATCAGATTTTGAATAACCACATTATTGAAGAAAAAAGGAATGAGTATTGAACATGGATATGGTGAAACGCTCTGTATATAATTCACAATATACATATTATCAAGTGTATACATTAAGCATGTTTATTTTAAGAGAACGGTTCGCAAAGGTTGATAGAGTAGTTCGTAACCGTGCCATATTTTTTCATTTTTTCTGTTAACATAGTAAATCATAATTCATAAAGCTTAAATAATTCAGCTTTTCGCGATTCTGTTTTAATAGGTACCAATTATATTCTACATACAACATACGCACATGCTTCTACCGTAGCAGGTATACCGTATACCTAGCACATCATAAAATTAAAATATGAATTAAAACAACTTAGCACCACTCGCAGATTATATTATAATCATCATTCAATTTGATATTGCATTACCTATCGATTAACTCGGACAGTTGACATTGACCTAGACACCTCAATAAACCTCATCGAAGGCCTTTCTGTGTGTTGGCTTCTGTAGCGAAAAGTGAATAATTGTTACCTTTAGGTATAGCTGGTACTTGGTAGGTACCTATACGTTAAGTCGATTATCACTCTCATTTGATTTAATTTTGAAAAGACTAGGTTTCTAAATAATTTATATAGATACTTAATATAGGTACTAGGTACTGCAGTTTGAATTGTGGCGTTAAATTCATAATCGTACTGTATTTAAATGTACTAATCGTAGAGATTTCCATTCCTCGGAGTAGTAGGTATCAGCTACAGTATCACTTTTTGTGATTTCGTACGATAGATAGGTATTGTATAGTATGTTTACCTACCATAAATGATTTTAATTTGGAATTTTCTTTTCGTTTTGCAGAATACAGACTTCAAAAATCCCGTGTACCAGTTGACTGACAAACAACGAAAAGACATGAAGCTACGTTATTACACTACCGACATTCACAAAGCGGCGTTTGCACTGCCCGCGTTTGTCGTCGATGCTCTCGATGAAGCCGACAAGAATTTGTAATCATTTATACGAGCGAACCTATGTATAATATAAAAATAAATGGTGTATCACGCGAGGCTCATATTCATTGTCGCATCATGTTACAATTGGTAAAATATTATTGTCACATGCTTATACGATTTAAATAAAACATCTATTTATTTGCACATTATCGTTAAACCTAGTTATTTTGCTCACTATATCTCAACTTAACGGGTGAATAAAAATATAATGTAGGCAGGTAGGTAGATATAACAGGTATTTATTATTTGCCGTTTTAACAAATATTTGTACAGTTTAAATATATGTATATAAGTACGTATATGGTATATCAGGTGTCGGCACCTGATGTCTAACTTCTATTGGAGCCCGGAAGAATAAAATAATAAATAAATATGTGGTCCCTGAATGAAGACAAACATTTGTAAGCTTTGATCACCGTCCAGTTTTCCACCTTTCGCGGTCCGGATTTAGACAGCTGTCTGCCAGTGGCCGGCCGTTGACGTAAATACTTATTGCCTATGTATCATATCTCCAGAAGTCCAGACCTCCAATGCCCGCCCTTGTATGTTGTCTTGCGGATTACAAAATTATTGACCACTCCACGCCAACATGATTTGATGGGCACTTACTTGAAATGAACAATATCGTATTCAAATATCTCGTATATGTTTAAATACTGACAGTTATCTCTGCTAAATGGTATACCAGTGTAGCAAGTTTCGAGCGTAATACATATCCGCACTCCACGCGACGTCGAGAAATTATAGGTAGGTCACTGTAATGTGTTTGATTTGAATTCTAATTTCTGATAAGCCGATGTTTTGTTTATTAAAAATAAAAATTACTGTTTTTCACGTTTGTTTGGAGAAAGAACTGCGAATTTTCACTTTATTCCCCTCCCCCATTACCCAGAAAAAACCACCAATTATATCCTATTTGCTTCTAGAAGGCAGATTAGGCAGAGACTATTTAGTTAGACTAGTCATTTTATTTGTCGTATAAGTCGTGTAACCAATTACCATCTACTTCTATGGCCCCAACAGCTTACGATAAACAATACAAATAGTTAGGTACCTATTCATGAAAACATTTTATGCAGTAAAACCTGAATAATTGTTGTACTATTTCAAATGATTTACTCACAATCTTCATTCTTCGAAACTCTGCAAATTGTAGATATCAATTAAACAGTTTGAGGAATTAACACTGGTAGGTAATCATTAATCAGTCATCATAATGTAATGTTTAATCTTGGCTTTATTTCAGTTCTAGCAATGAAATAACAAAAATTCATCCAGCTACCTAACTTTAATTATTATTTTTATTATTTTTCCGTGGATACGAATTTTGTTCTGAATTCCATAATTGTTATAGTTTTATCAGTTATCATTTATTTGTAACATTTTGATACATATCAAAACGACACAGTAATTTTAAATTTTAATAATATTGTTTTCAAGGTGGTACGTTATTCGCATGAATCTGAATAGTCCACACTCCACAGAACTACAAAAGTAATTAATACGCAATAATTAAACCGCACAGTTTGATAAAATAAATATTTCTAAAAAAGGCATACGGCATACCTATAATATTATCGACATTCGACAAAATTCCCACATTATCAACATGTGGTGGCCTTCAATTGACGATTTTGATATGTACTTCGTACTTAGGAGTTAGTTTAATATTGTAAAACAATAACAGGATTTAAATATTTTAGGTAACTTACCTAGTTGAACTTTATATAAGAATACAATTACTTAGGTACCTATATAATTATGAAATATTGATTTTAATATTGTTTAAGTTGTAATTTGTAACAAAAGTATTCTTTATAAATATCACGCTTATGATACATCGCAACGAAAAAATAAAACTATAAAACCACAAATCGCAGGCTGCAACCCTTGGTTCCGAGAGAGCACATCAAAAATTAGGAAATTAGGAATTTTGGAAGCTATTACATACAGGCAAATTTTTTTACAATTTCAACAATTCTTACAGTGAAGATTGATCAAAATCTATATTTAAATAAAAATAAATTTATGTATAAGTAAACTAGGGTATATAGAAAAAATTTAAAAAAAAAACTATATCAATAATTGGTGGTTAACTATTTTTTTTTTGAGAAATTATTCAAATTTTCAGTGAACAACTACAAAACAAACAATGCTCTTTTGTTAAAAAAAACAAAGTTTTTGTTGTTTTGGATTATTAGCAACTTTCATTAGCATACCGAGCGGTAATTTATCATTAGCTTTGAGCTTTTGATATTTGTAGAATTCATTGTAAGTAAAGTTTCAAAAGATAAATACTTTAGGTAAAATCTTTCACATACAGAATACCCCCATGAAAAAATGCCTAAAACTAACCATTGGATATCAATCCTTTGGAGTCATTATCTAATAATTATTAATTAGGACCTTGGATGAAAGGCTATGCTCAGGCATAAGCCAAAAATTGATTATCAAAAGCATATGTTATTTAAATTTACTTTTACAAATTCAAACTTTGTTGTATTATTGTTTGAAATTGATTGTTCTCTTACAAAAAAAACAATTGCAAAGTTTCAGAAAATGTATACTTACTTAAAGTTCGGTATAATTGTAGAGAAAACAGCCATTATATCAAAATATATAAAATACGGCGGTGTTCAGATAAGCCATACTAGTAGAAGTTGAATCAATACAATTATTACTATACCTTCTGTTTGCATAATCAATATATTTTATTAAAATATTATGTTTGCATAAAAGTTATAACCATAATTTCATACATTTTATGTAACAAAATATCATTTTAGGATGTCTGAATGATTCTTATTTTATGTGGAAATATACAGCTTATGAACAATTTAAATTATGCAATAGAATGATAAATCCGTCTTCAATGTATGTATTAATAGAATTATCTTCCATTGATGTTGTACTTAAAAATATATTTTTAATTTATGTTGCTTCAATAGATTACTCAGAACTAAAACCAAAAACTTTTAGATTTCCAGTATCTCTTTTCCTGTCAAATTGTTCTTTATCATCACATGCAAATGCCAATAAATACTGTTTTGGATGCCATGCTACAGTGAATGTTGCTGCTTCAATTGGTATATCAGTAATCTTAATTGGAAAATATTACAAAAAAAAAAATAACAATAAAACTGCAAATATTATAACAGATTTAAATAATAAATATCTAAAATGAAATCTTACTTTTTCGCCTGTTGTAACATCTGCAATGTCTACATACAAATCTTCACTACCTGATGCCAACATTTTACCATCATAAGAAAAACTTAAAGCTCGAACTGGCCAATCCAATCTACATTTTTCAAGAAAAAAAAGATTTATTCCAAGAATATAGGAATAATTGAATATAATTATTTTAAATAAAAACAAATTACTTAAACTGATTTGTACGCTAGCTACATACAGGGCTGTCCCGAAATAAATAATAAGGGGGGTGAGATGCATTAATGTGTCAACTCAAAAAAATTTTCTCTCATCGCTCGACAACTATCTCCTACCTACATTCATAGTAATCAGCAGACATATTTTATACCATATTACAAAATATTAAATATTTTAGTATGTTCTCTATTTTACTATCTTATATACATATTTTTTTCATCACATCTTGATAAGTATATTAGAACAAAATATTTTCAATAACAAAATTCAGAACACTGTTACATATTGATTATTCTATCATGGAATGATAGGAATGAATAATGATGCAAATTACAACATAACCAAATATTCAACAACAATGTTAATTAAATAGTAAATATTGTCAATACTGACTACCTATATAATATAAATGAAACAATTTCAAAATCCTATCACTTAGTCGATGTCTAGGTGACACGAGTCAACACATAATATTAAAATGTTTGCATTACTTCTATAAATGGAATTTACAGTCTTCAGTGCACAAAAGTTTCTCATCAGTTATCATAACAGTATTATTAAAAATAATTCAATGATTATAAGAATGTATTGGCAAATTTGTATACTGTTATAATATTATATAATATGTACATTTTTAGGTAGGTACTTAAATATTATTAAAGTATTTGTGTTGGACAATTGGAAAATTAACTTATATTCCTTCATATTATTATAAATTACAATAATATATTATTATGACATATTTGTACTTTGCAGTATTTACAAAATTATTTAAAAACTGTAAAAAAAATTATAATTTGCCGAGTGCCAACTTAAATACTTAATGTTTAATGTGCCAACTGACATATACTTATTGTACGCTTGGGGGGATGACACCCCCTAGAACTCATCATCGGGACGGCCCTGGGTACATAGAAATTAAATTAAAATAATATATCAAAACCACTTTTTAATAGGGGAACCATATCTACATTGTTCTCTTTGGGAATATTTCAACTTAGATAAAAGAAGATTAAAAGCCCAACAGGCAACAATATACAACTAAAGGAGAATTTTATTTCATAAAGGTTACCTGGTGTAAGTCTGTACACAAGCCAAATTTTCAAGGTCCCACAATGACACAGAAGCATCTGCCGAGCCAACAGCAAAATAATGGCCACTTGGTGCAAATTCTATACAAATACATGTACCAGGATGAGCTTTAACCACATGCCGCTGAACTAAGTCTGGGAAACTATAATAAGATTTAATAACATATCATTTAGAGATAAATAACAAAAAACAGATAATCGGATGTCAGAATGTCATATTTATGTTTTTACCTTAATACATAAACACATCCTAGACCATTTGTCAAGAAGAACAAATCGCTTTCATTGTTCCATGACATTTCGTTCACTTCAAAATTGAACTGTTGCTCACTAATTGGTTTAAAAGTGCGCATATCGATGAAAGTTATCAAATCCTCTTTATTTCCAACGGCAATTGTATGTCCATCAGGAGACCATGTGATGTTTATATTCTCTCCTATATATAAAAGCAAGTACGTTATTGTCTAATGGAATGGATTAGATGGAAATGATTTTTCAAACGATGTACCTTTGGTCAAAATAGTATTCGAACATTTCTGGTGTCTTACATCCCATACTTTGACTGTTTTGTCACCACTAGCTGTACTCAGTAAATCTGGGTTAGACTTATGCCAACATAACTGATCCACACTACCACTGTGTCCTTTATATGTGTATTCCTTG